TCCATCCATCCATCCATCCATCCATCCATCCATCCATCCATCCATCCATCCATCCATCCATCCATCTCTATCCATTATCTTTCTCTGATCTCTCTCTCTCTTTCCCTCCCCCCTCTGTCATTTATATCCTCGCTTTATTAATTGTATTGATCCCTCGGGGTGGTGAACATCCTTAATATCTTTTCCACCTCCTATTTTTCCCACGACCACCACCCTGTGAGCTGGGTTGAGCTGAGAGAGAAACTGCCTGCTCCAAAGTCACCCAACTGGCTACCATGCCTGAGGCGGGACTAGAACTCACTGACTCCTGGTGATTGGTCCTCCGCCAGCACACATATCCCACAATGAATCCTAGGATCCTAGGTCCTAGGAGAAAACGGCATCAGGGTTGGTTCCAGCAGTGGGATTCAAACATTTTAGCATCTGGTTTTCTGCCCGGTTGCTGGGTGGGCATGGACATGCTGGGGCATGGCCTACTTGGCCTCCTGCACTGTGGCAGGGGAGGATGTTAATGAACTCCCTTCCCCTCTCGACAGGTGTGGTTGTTGGTTATATTAAATGCCTGTTTTGTACTTGTGTGTTCCCTTTCCCGTTTGAGTTGTTCGCCGCCCTGAGTCCCTATAGGGAATAGGGCGGCATATAAGTAAAATAAAACTTCAAACTTCCCTCCCTTCGGAGCTTTCCTCGAGCCTCCAGGAGGATGAAAATGCCCCCCAGGGGTGTGTGTGTTTTTGCCCTCCTGCTAGCTCCGATAGGCCCGTTTTTCATCTGCCCCAGGCTCTGGAGGTTTTCCAAGCCTCCGGCAGGGCAAAAACTGCCTCCCCCGGGCTCCGGAGGCCCTATGGAGACTGGGAATAGGCCCGTTTTTGGACTTCTGATACTTCCGGTTGGCCCATTTTTCACCCTCCTGGGGCTCCGGACGCTTTCTTTGAGCCTCCAGGAGGGTGGAAAAGGCCTCCCCTGGGCTTTGGAAGCCCTTCAGAAGCCAGAAACAGGCCCGTTTCCAGATTTCTGGTACTTTTGCTAGGCCCGTTTTCCACCCTCCTAGAGCCTTCACACAGGCCCTGCACTTACCTCACATCAGTGGTGGGTTTCAAAAATTGTTCGAACCTACTCTGTGGGTGTGGCCTCCTTTGTGG